TAGATCAGTTATGACTATAATGTGAGTTCGATCCTCACTTGGTTCCCCATATTTTCGGCCTTGTCCCACGACTACGCAACGTTTAGAAAATAATCATAAAGACGAATGTTGGACCGCTGAATGAGTACTGTCTATGCCCGTGCATTAAATAAATGGTCCGTTCGAATTTCCGAGAACCTCCCCTGATTCAACAAGTTCTTGAAGAATGTTGGAGGGCATAACGGTCGAAACGTTGTGACTAAGAAAATAATTTAGAGTAAACCAGTGTAAAATATATAACTATATAATTATTGACTGATTTGTTATCAGTAACCACACTATCAGCTCAAGGCTTTGTTATTATTTTATTGTCTGATTTTGTGACAGACGAAGCTACACCTATTCTGTTACTATATACGATGTGAGACAGGTAATTGAGAACAAACTATAAGGACAAACAAAGATACTCTTGGCGGTGGGGGATAAATAGATTCCCAAGACACGCGTTCACTGTAGAAAAAAATAAAAATAAAATAAAACCGCCTGATCAGTCTGTTCTTATTCATATTGTTCATCACATCTTTTTTTTTAAAAAAAATCGGTTTCACTTCAAGCAAGGCAGTGAAGCCACTAAGATGTAAGCGATTATTGGGTGTAAAAGAATTATGAACAAAAAACACTAATAATGATCAGGAAGAGAAAAGAGTAATTAAGAGGACAGTAGATAGCGATTGACATTGCATTTAATTTTTTTTTTTTACAAGGGTAATGGCAATATTAGCCGTTTCCGCATAAGGAAAAATTTGGAATTAATTGAATGAGCAGCCAGTACTGTTATCGATTTAGATTTATAAATATAAAATCTTTCTCTGAAAGCAATTTTTAAGAAAAATAATTTTATGATATCCAGTATCTGTTTTCATACTTTCCAATATTGATGGAAATTCCTTTCTTAACTTTTTATTTGAAGTAATGTGGAATGTCGACGTCGTGATCACGTCATGACTTTCTGTTCGAGTTATATGTGAATACCATTTTAGCTATTGCTGCTGTTGGAAGACCTTAAGTAATGTAGTTGACGGCATTCAACATGTGCTTACGACCCCCACCCCCGCACCAACGACATTGTACTTGAGAGGATTCAAATCGGGTGTATTAAAGTTATTAGGATATATTTAAAAATTATATCATCAATATATTATGATTGTTTCGTCCTTCAATATCTTTATTAAAATATTGTTAATAACAATGTTATTATTTTATACAAGCAAATTGAATTGTAGCAATATGATAAGGACAGACACCATAGACAGGGGAAGTTATGGGACTTTATTTCGATCTTAAGTTTTTTTGTTTGTTTGTTTTTTTTTTTTTTTTTTTTGCTGTTTATTTTGACAATCGGATAAAACCTTTGAAGTGGCACTCACAGAACGTATTTATATATAAATCGTAAATATACACAATATACACATAAAATAATACAAATACGTGTACACACAAACTCACATATACTCGCATATACACTTTGACGTTTGGGAAACCTCGGCGTGGTGTAATGGTTAGCAAGCTTGGCTTGCTAGATCAGTTACTACTGTAAAGTGAGTTCGATTCTCATTGGATGCCCCATACTTTCGGCCTTATGCCACATCTAAGCTACGCTTGGAAAATCTTTACACTTGTCTCGCTAGAGCATTTACAACTGAGTAGTGAGTTCGATCCTCATTGGGTGCCCCATTCAGCCTTGTGCCACATCTTAGATCGCCATATACTCGCATAAACATACATACTCTCTCTATCACACTCTTACACAAAAAACGAAAAATCAGAAAAACGGCAGTTAATTGCTGAAACTTTATGAATATAGAATTGAAGAATTATAAAAAAAATTCTTCTACGAAATTCTATCGTCAATGTGCAGAATTTAATATCCATCAGATTAGTGACAGCTTTTATTCATTTTAATGCAATATATATATATATATATATATATATATATATATATATATATATATATATATATATATATATATATATATATATATATATATATATATATATATATATATATATATATATATATATATATATAATATATATATATAATATATATATATATGCAATATATATATATATATATATATATATATATATGCATATATATATATATATATATATATATATATATATATATATATATATATATATATATATATATATATATATATATATATATATATATATATATATATATATATATATAGTTTATGTAAAACTAGGTAATCTGCATGGTAGACCCAAGGAGGATGGTATCCGAGAGATGTAAAATTCAGAGCCGATATGTTTGAATAAAAACAGACTTCATTTCAAACTTTGGAAGTAAAGTCTGATGATCCAGAGCCCTGTTAAAGGGGTTATATGAAATAACTTATTATATGGAACCTTAAAGCGGTCTGTTTTTATTCAATAAATATATATATATATATATATATATATATATATATATATATATATATATATATATATGTGTGTGTGTGTGTGTGTGTATGCATGTGTGTGCATGTGCGTGTGTTTGCGTGTGTGTGTTTTGTGTGTGTGTGTGGAAATTGATTGTGTATGTACTTATTTCGTTACTAAAATAATCGTGAACTTCTCACTCGACAAAATGGTCAATATTCGGGGTAATGCAAGACAAAAGTGAGGCTTCTTAGGTTGAGGCTTTTCAAGCTAGGCAAACCGTCCTAATTTGGCGCAGAAAAACCATCCCTCAAAATTCTAAAATTCTCGAGACAATCGTAATAAATACTTATCAAGTTAGCTATATGTCATATCTGGTTTATCATAAATTAAGATTTTCTAGTATCGTCAACAAATCGTATATATATATATATATATATATATATATATATATATATATATATATATATATATATATATATATATATATATATATATATATATATATTGCTTTGTGCGAACGCTTGTACCGGTGTGTTTGTCTGCGTGTCCATTCTCCCGTGTATTATGTATATTTGCGTATGTATTCATATCCTTTGTGTTTATACATATCAATTGTTTGCTGTAATTTCTGTTTATCAATGAAAATTTTACTCTCTTTCTTTCACTCAGGAACAAAGAATGAAATCTTCCTGGATACTGAGAGGAATGTTCTGGTTTCATAACAAGCCGAAGCCTGGAGATCGAGAAACCGAGATTTTAAATACTGGCTTATGAAGAAAAATGGGGAGACATTGAGTTTCAAACTGAAACAAAAGATCTCTTTCAGTACTCAGATATATATATATATATATATATATATATATATATATATATATATATATATATATATATATATATATTTTGTCCTCTGAATCTCTTTTCAGCGGTTAGTTTGTTATTTCTCTGTACAGATGCTATCTACCAACGCCATCATTCGCACACACGGAATTGATTACTACAAGGCCCTTTTTTGGTTTTAATTTCCACAGTCTAAACTGCTTAATTAAATTTGTTTTAATTAAAGATAGCGGTAAAATATAAATAGAAGTAAATAAAATAAATTAAAAACCGGAGAAAATAACGAAAGGTCAGTCATCTATGATCCGTAATGAGCTCTTTTGCTTCCGAATTAGCTGGTGTTTTTTTTTTTACTTTATTTTTGATTTTTATAACCTTTCAAAGTGTTAGCGAAGACATCTTTTGTAATATTCTTCGCAATGACAAAGTTCTGCTCGTCGCGTTGGGAACAGAAAGAAAACATTCGACAAGAGCAGAAAAGAAAGATATAAAGCGAAAACTTTAAATTGAAAAGAAACTTTAATCGAATTCACTTTGCAGTGTTTGAAGTTTCAGTTAAGAAAGAATTCACTAGAAAGAGAAATCAGTTTCGATCTACAATTGGTGCGAAACGCTAAGATACAAATAAATAAATAAAAAAAAGTTATACGCGGTAAATTTATCGGATTTTCTTGATCAGCGACAACTGAGGAAATAAAATTTACTTTTACTTTCGCTAATGAAAATATGATGAATAATAGAAAAATGCCTTTTTTACTCTTTTTATTACGACTAAATAAGGCTAAGAACACTAAAACTACAACATTTAATCTATCATATGGTAGGTGAATGCAGCTAAGGAGTGCATGAATGGATAGGGGAGGTAATTAATTGAGAAGAAAATTTGGGATATGGCCATACAAACGAACTTTATATATAGAAAATGGAAACTATCCGAGAGAAACAGAAAGTAATGAAACAACGAAATGTCAACAGATCGTTCAGTTTCGACGAGGAAACAAGATTTTGTCGTCGAAAACAGAAAAAAAAAGAATTATTGATAATGTTTTATGCTTTGGGAAATTGGTGAACAACTTCTGAACGTCAAAGTTCACCTTTTGTGTACATTGAATAGGATCGTCTTTAATTGTTTCGACAAAGTGGAGTGATTGCTGTCAGGGTCTTCACTATATTCACTAGGCGTTTATTCAATGAATACAAAGCTGATCCTCAGAAACTGACAATAAGTCTCTTCTTTGGTGATATTCTACTCATGTGGTTGTCCGAAGAAGACAGTTGCTTCTATTCGTTGTTGTCCGAGTGCTTTTTATAATAACTTTTTAGTTGTTCATATCGAATGGACTTTGTTTTTTTATTTAATAGGCAATCATTCCATAAAAGATCAACGCAGTTCGCTGAGTATTTCCATTTATTTATTCAAAAATTGTTGATTTTTCTTTGATAGTGAAAAGATTTTCGTTTTTTGATTGATTTTTTTTTTTACAACTTATCAACCGTTTGCGATTTACTGAAAGCCAAAAGTATTTCTAGATTGTAAGAATTTTTTAGAGTGTTGGCAACAATAATGATTCGCTAATTAACCCATAGATGGGGGAATAGGTGGATTTGTACCTTTCCAAAGTGTATTTTCGCGTAAGTTAATATCACGAACCCAAGTGGAATTAGAACTCGGCTCTCCGATTTAACAATTCCGAGACATTATCCATTACATCACCCGCATATTCGAGCTTACAGCACTTGGTATTCCCAAGCGATCATCCATCTAGGTGTTGATCAGGTTCGACATTGCTTAACTTCCGTGTTCGTACGAGAACCTGTGTTTCAATAAGATTTGGTCGTACGCCGATAAGAAATCCAAATGGAAATAAAATATATAAAATGATTAGAATAACGGCAAGAAATATTCGACAGTGATTATCAGAATATTAACTTTAGACCTTAGCCTCGGAATTTCGTTATTTTCATCTGAGAATGTAAATAAAAAACAAAAATTATGTTCAATGTCACAATTGTAAAAACCACAGGGTGTAAAATAGACAGGAGAAATTTCGAATATTAACGAAGACGTTCCGATAAAATCTTGGAAAAAGTTTAAGATTAGTTTATAGAAATGGAATAAAATGCTTCTCGTTACACAATATTTTATAAAGTATGTTTACTGTCTGAATCAGTTTTCTTTTTGTTCTCATCGAAACATTTTTAGAATCTATTCTCTTTGACTGTTAAAGTAAACAGCTTAAAATCATTTGCGAACACCCCACCGTAGAGTAGTGATTAACAAAAAGTTAGGGTAGACTATTACATTAATAAAAAGGCCGATTTTTACAGTGACGTGCAAATCTGTTGCGATTTTGTTTCGGGTGGGAGTAGGATGCACCAGTCACAATCCTCGCCTCGGGGGGTACCAAACCTCGACACGCCATTGTTACTATTTTGAGTTTGTGTCAGACGAAACGAAGTTTATTAAATACTTCATATGAATATCATGCAAGGCGCCAAACTGGTTCAGGAATATCAAAACTGTCTTCTCTGTACAACCTCTTTCCCAGATCAGTGATTAAAAATGGTATCGGGTAAATGAAGCTTATAGCGTGTTCCATATCTCTTCAGATGCCGTAGACGTGACGCTGCACAATAACATTCAATGATTTCTACCAAATTACAGGAACTACACTACTCGAAGAATTTTAACTACAGCACAAAAACTAAAATGATAAGCACATTAAAGGTGATGAGAAAACGATGATATAATTATAATGTTGACTTTCCGCATGACTTCAAACAAAAGATTAGGAAAGAAAGATATATCACTATTGGAAAAAACGATAACTAACTGGACCTGAGAAGACAATTTTCCTGAATAATTGTTTTAATACAAAGATTTTATAAATTACAACTAAAAGAAGCACTGCCTGCTTCGTTAATGAATAACAAATATTTCTTTTTAATTCATACCATTCATTTACTAAATTCATTTGTCATTACTATATCCAACATTCACAGTGAATAAAATGTAACACTTTTACGTAAATGATAATTTACTGAAGCCTCTTGATGTTTTATTTGATGACATTATTTGGTTTCAAGGCTAAAAATGTGGAAGCAAACCAACTACGTTAGTTATAGCTTTCAAGGTTAGGTATTAACTAAAATTAGTTTCATCTGGCACAAGGCTAAAATATTGAGCGTCCACTGAGGGTAGACCAGATCATAGTATTTATGTTTTTACTTGTCAAAATACTTACTCCAGTGATGGATATGCAATGCGGTTGGTCCTGATCTGGTATCTTGTCTTAAGTCGCTCTCTCACAGACATGTCGTCGCCTCTCTCTGTGTTTTCTACAAATACTCTCACGGTAACTGCTCCGACGAGCTGTTTCGGCTAGTTCCTAAGCTGCATGAATTTAATCGTACTACTAGATTGGCATCTCGCTCCCACCCTTTCACTGACGAAACTATAGCTATATTCTCCAACTATTCAAATGCAATGTCAATCGACATCTCCATATGTCTTCATCTATTTCCTGCCCTTCTCTTCATCCTTTCCTCTATAACGTCTTTTTACTCTTGCTCCCACCTTCTGTAACCCCTTGAATGCTAGTGACACTCTCGTATTGCTTAGGGCGAAAAGTTAAAAAAAAAACCTTTAATGAATCATTATTTGACAAATGTTTGAAAATTGAGAACTTTTTATCAACATCTAAATGTTTGTTTACACTTTCGTGGAAATAACGAGATGTCTTTCCACGTCAATGATTCGGACTGAGAAATTCGAATGGCAGTCGAGTTCATTACATCCACTTACGCGCAAATACCCTTTGTGAATGGTTCACTCCCTCTATTTGCGCACCAGGTATGGATAAATAGCAAGACAGAGTGGTTCCTATAAGCTTGAGTTGAAACTGGTCTAGGAGAAGGACAACTCTGAATTCAAAACTCCCAAATATGGATTAAATAGCATCACCGACCGCAGCTGTCCCAGCGTTGTGAATACTTCTAAACTCCGGAATATATAATAGCTCGGAATTTTTCATCGGAGAGCCGAGTTCCAATTCCAGTTAGTTTTGTTGTATTCACTTTTAAGAAATCACAAAACAAATTATTACAATATAAAAATGTTTTGTGGTTTTAAATAACCTGCAAAAGATTGATAAGCCGTAAAAAATGAATAAATCAAATCAAATAAATATGACATTCTACAAAAAATTAAATTGGTTCCTAAAAAATTAATCACATTTATTCTAAGTTAACGAAACAATAATGGACCACTCAGAAACTGACTGAACTAGCAAAGATGTTCGTGAGATAAATTCATTTATTATCAGGCTACCGATAGCGGCCATCTTAGTGTGAAAGAAGGTTAGTGTAAATAGTGTGGAGTAAATATTGAGGAACTAGTCGCCTCAATTAGTTTCTAAAAATCAGTAATAAATCGCAGACATTGAAGAACTGGATAGCAAAAGGAAATTTCTAACCACCATGTCACAGTCGGAGGTCGCGATTCGATCGGTTCATGCTTAGAAGTGAACCTGAAACATTTCACTTAGAAGCAGCTTGTTCCTCTTGCATATCATGCTGTCTCGAATGACAGCCCGAAATTAGATAAAACTTGATCATGCTTCGTTGAGAACACGTCTCATAATTAACGACAAAGCGGGAATATTTGGAAACTTCTGGACTGATTCAGCCACAAGTATACAGGAAGAAGTTCGAAAAAGGCGAACAGATCCTTCACACATACATACATACACACACATATATATATATATATATATATATATATATATATATATATATATATATATATATATATATGAGAGGTGCTTAAACAAGTGCCCTAGGGGAAAAAGGTGGATCTTCATTACAATGACTCCATGACAGAGAACCATTGTATGATTTAATTTAACTTTCTTCGTCGTCCCGTTTTGACTTTTCCTTCCATTCATTTTCTTGTGATTAATCTCTTGCTTTATTTTTTTATTCTTTATATTTTTCTTCGATTCACTTTTCCTCGAGTATTTCCCACTTTTGCATCCTTCATTTTACTTTCTTTTCTATCACTTCCTCTTGGCATCATTTCACAGTTAACATCTTTCACTTTTAGGAAGATTGATTACTTTTTCGTTTCTCCAAGACCGACAGCAAGAAATTCTTCGTCTTTGACAAATTCTCTAGAGTTTGGATCACAATCTTTGACAGAAGAAGATAACATTTTATAGAGAAAAGTTAAATAAAGAAAAAAAACGTGAAAAAAAAACGAATGAAAATGTATGATTTTGCTGTTGCATGTCGTCCTGCTTCTCTTGTCAAATCGATAACCGCCGGCCGCATGCAAACATGATTTCACATGAACCTCACCAGCGGCAAGTTGCTGCCGGGTGCAATCCCATCGTGAAAGGATATCGTCTTGTATCGCCCCATCTTGACCAAAACTCAGTAGAGGAACAAGCGATTGCTGCCATAGTGTTATGCGCCTATATGTCTCACTGAGAGTTTTAGGCCAAGTTGATATTCCCGATTTACACGTTCATTTAATGGCTACTGTGAGTAAAACCTAGTTATTGGATCAACAAGTCTTTATTCCACATTGTAACACGTTCACTCAGGGCAGAAAAAATCTCCAGGTTTTATAGGACAAGTTGTAATAAAAAAAGGCAGAAAGAAAAGTCAAATAAAATGGATCCAGAGAACAAGTCTCGCACTCAGCTGAATATGAATAAGCATACACAGGGAATTATAACTGGTGAACATCATCTGTAGTGGTGTTAAACCTGTTTTTTTTTAAAACAGGGGTATTGGATGCAGCCACTAATGAATTAATGATTTATCTGTTTAACCATCCCCGGACTTAAGATTAAGTCAGAAAAAATCTAATCCGTCAGCCAAAACTTTGGGATTGTTTTCTATTTCTTCAAAATGAATCAAAATAAATAAATTGAAAAAAATATATATAAAAATATACGGTAAAAGAATGCAAACCAAACTAATGTACAGAATCTACTTTTACGTGTCGTGTCCCTTCAAAACGTAGGCGATCATAAACCTCTACATATTCCTTTTCCTTGTACCTCTTAATAAGTTTTGTCTTTTTATTATATCTTCCAAACTCTGTTCTACAATCCCCTTACTCAAGCTCATCAAGTAAGTTAGGCTCTGCTGTCCCTCTTTACCTTAAAGAACTGATTTTCGAATTAGTTCATTACGTTTACCGTTCAATACACTACTGTACTGTATAATGCACCGGCTCGGGTTGAGGAATCGGAGAGCCGAGTTCGAATTCCAGTCGAATCCATTACATTCACTTGTGTGCTAATACACTTGAGAAAAGTATGAATCCTCTTCTTCCCCAGCTATGGATAAATAGCAGGACAGACCGGGTTCTATAGATGGATGGCAACTGGTCTGCCGCAGAAATGGCAACCTATTGCAGGAAAAAAATCGAAAGATACATGATCGCCTAAGCGTGTATCATGCATGGCACATAACTGACTTTGTATAAACATTTGGGAATTTTACAAATGATACAAAAGTGACAATAAAACTAGTTGAAGCTGTTGGACACAAACCGATAATACGCGTAGTATGTCTGATATAGCGGCCATGTATAATGTCTCATTTAGCGACTACCTCGTTTAGTGACCAGGTCATTGGAACGGAACCGATGGTTAAGCGTGGAGTAGGTTTATTTGAATTTTATATTCTGGTAATTTATAGTTTTTTTTTTTTAATTTGTCAAGATTCTTCGACATATTGATGAAAATTGAAAAATTATAAATTATCACAAAGATTAAAAATTAAAAAAAAATCAAATAAACCTCTTTACTTAATGATGTCAATAT